CTTTCGTATTATTTATAGGTTATGTTTAGTACACAATGGAAAGGACACATCTGCCCTTAGTACTTACATAATAAATAAAGTAAATAAAAGCTGAAATAAATAACAACTDAATTAACAAAYWRACTCAAAYTGACACTACTATAACTGAAACAAATAACTACACATGCTGTCCTACGAACACAGTGGGGCCCACATCAGTGTTCTCTTCATATATAAGCAAAAACTGCCTATGGATGAAAATTGCAAAGGAGTGCGAAGGGCAAAACTTTTGTTTCTTATAAAAACTAACTATTGAAGGAGACTCCAAATTGGTAATGGACTGGTTACAGAGAAGGGAGGCAAAGATCTGGAACTGCAGCAGTGAGAGGAAGGTCAGATGGCTGACAAAATACATGGAAGTGATGATACAATGGGTCAAAAGTAGTTCTAATTCCTTGGCCTGATGCTTTAATCAAACAAAGGGGTGGGAAGAGATCTTCTATTTTGGGTGCAGTTGTAAGAAAAAGATTTTTGGGGAGCTATAAGAGGGTTCCTCTCTCATTGACTATAAGGGGTGGGAAGAGATCTTCTATTGGCCAAAAAAATGTGGTAGTGATGTATAAATTAGGGGTAGAAGTCACTGGAACTCTACTTTTCTACCTTGTAGTGAATCTGGCAAGAAATTAATCATTAATCATCTAGAATTTGTAGAGTTTGAAATTGCCAAGGGTAAAATACAAAATAAATTTCATTTGAACTCTAATGTGTGGAATTAGAACATTAGTAATGCAAATAATTAATTCCTATTAGGCTTCATCTTACTTACTATGGCTTCAAAATATACTTTTGTGTGGAATTAGGAACTTGCCTCCTAACTAACAGGTCTCAGAATTATATGCAGCCCTCAGTTAATAACAAGGTTCCAGCATGTCCTATTGATTGCAACTATTGCTGACATGACCCAGGCCATCATTGACCAACACTTTCCTTTGTATGGATTTAAGCTGCATCATGACATCATGCAGGAACAATAGAAAGAATTTCAGCTCATTATCTTCCCTTCATTTGATTTATTTCTTTGTACAAATGTCTAAGACAGTACACAGAACAAGAAACTATCACGAGTTTTAAGTATATTAATATGGACAACAGAATAACAGAGCTTAAATGTGTGGGAACTTATTGAAGAAAGCAGGACCAATATGGTATTACTGGTATTATGAGTTATGACATACAAAGTGTTGTATACATTACTTGTTTTACAAGTGTTGCTTCTGTGATTGTAATCTCCCCAGCTATAGTAGCAGATATAAACTCTGGACTCCTTATGGGTAAGACCTGGAATAGAAAAAAATAACTTATTGTTATCCCAAAAATACCTAATGATATGTGTTAATGATTTATATGGAGAAAAGAAAGCAAACCTGGCTAGTTAGCTGGTTGATTCTGTGATTGTAATCTCCCCAGCTATAGTAGCAGATATAAACTCTAGACTCCTTATGGGTAAGACCTGGAATAGAAAAAAAATAACTTATTGTTATCCCAAAACATACCTAATGATATGTGTTAATGATTTATATGGAGAAAAGAAAGCAAACCTGGCTAGTTAGCTGGTTTGCCAAGAAAAATTACTTTTATCAGCGACTACATTCTTATTCCACATGTACTGTCATATACCGATGTTTTTGGAAGTTTGATTCTAAATATAATTTGCAGTTGTGGTCCGTAAGTTATCCTTGATAAATCTGAAAATTTACATCATCTTTACCCTTTAATTCATCGAATAAGTTTTTTGATAACCTATTGCATTGCACTTCTGTGGTTTGGGGAAAAATGAAATGCTCCTTCAGAGCGTTGACCAGATACTGAAACTTAGGTTGGTGGCAAGTTTTGTATCCATTGGATAGCATTAATGGAAGGTTCTACTAATAGAAATTAGAAATCAAATTCTGACACTTTTCTGGAAAGCATTTAACATTTTGTGATTCTTTTTTTCCCTTTTGTTTTATTGTCAGTGTTAAGATCTGGCTTGGAGATACTGGTAGATTGCTCAAATCATCAGAAGTTAGTTGTGCTTGCTTTTCCTTGCTGAAGGAGGTGGTATTATTTTCTATATGTGCATTATTCGTTTCATTCAGTTGATATTAGAAGGGTAGTTGACATCTGTATTTGTTTAAATAGGTGTTAAACACTTCTCCAGTCCCAGTGTCAGTACTATCAGTAATTTTTCCCATACAAACCCTGGATGAAATGCTCCTGGCAATTGGAAAAGGATCAGGATCATTGGAAGTATGGAGGTGTGGCATATCCAGCCACAAGTTCCAGAAGTTTGGTTCATATGGTGCCCATGAACATATTGTAAGTCAACAGTAGTGAGGTTCTACTTTTGTCACCTATCGATGATTTTCACATGTTTTATGATCCTATAACAGGTTACTGGTATCGCTTGGGCATTTGATGGTCGTTGTTTGTACAGCTGTGGCCAGGTATTAAAAAGGGGTTAATTTTTACTATCTTGATGATTGTTGTTCTGAAGTTTTCTCTTATGTTATCTTTTATTCGTCTTGCTATTTCTCTATACATCTTGTGTGTATCAACATGTTGATTGCATTAATGTGCAATGTTATTACCAAAAGAATGGCATTAATCTGTCATGTTCCATATTCCATTTTATTTTTCCATTGCTTAGAGGGTTCTTTTAGCCAATTCTGCCATTGCTTAGAGTTGGTCCTGTGTTGATGATGATGATAGGATAATTCCATGCACAGCTGGATTTTACATGGGAACTCCCTGCATGAAGTGCCTATTCCTTCGAATTCTTTTGGCCTGAAAAGCTCCTTTGATGTATGATATGATACCTCTTGGTCTTTTTCTAATTTTGCATTTCCTTATTTACTTTTTATTCATTGAGCTTATTTGCAGCATCCACTTGTATACGATTCATGTTTCGGTCTAGCAATATCTCCTGGAAACTTGGCGGTTGCTGTGGTATGAAAATCTTACTTCTAGAAACTTTGTCAATACTGTTTTTAACAAAATCTTAATTATCATACAACTGTCAGTTGGTGTTGGTGGTGTTTCTTGGTTGGACAATGCAAGATTGGATTCAAGGTTTAAAATGTTGGTTTCGGTGGAAATATCGATCACCCAAATATAGGAAACATGTTGGAATTGTTAGAAATATCGTATGTAAGTGTTGTAAAAACAATGTTTTAGAAATCGACCTAGAACCGGAACCAGTTTGGCCACCAGTTTCCGGGTCAGCGGTTCGCCCATTCAGATTTAAAATAATAAAAATTAAAAAATAAAAAAAATAATTAAAATAAAAACGGCCAAAAACCGTTGTCCGGGTTGATGGGTCGATAATTTGACCACCCGGGTCAGCGGGTTGCTTATCAAGTCAGCAGTTTTGGCCCAGGAACGGTTTTAGGATGAAAATAGCTGGTTGCTTGGATGGTTCCCGAGTCAACCGGTCCGACTGTCCTGACCAATCCAGATTTCAAAACCTCGTGTAAAAATTATAGACATGGAGGAAACATTGTGAAATATGCGAAAGTATAGAATGATATTTTATGAAATGATAATAGAAGCATTGGTACACTTTTTGAAATTATTATCTTGTTCCAATTCATTAAACACAACTAATAAACTAAGGTTATAGACAAAATAATAGGTTGTGAAGTTGTTATGTACCTTAATAGTTAAAGCTACATTATAGAATGAGTTCAAGCAAAATTTAGACTCAGAAAATGCAAATTATTCTAATAGATCTACCAAATAATCTATTGTAAAAACAAAAACTAATATTTAACTACATCTTTGAAAAGAATATCAAGCTGGCTCATTGATGGGGATCGGTCCATGCATTACAAGACCTATTCTCGTAAGAAGAAGGCCAACAAACAGGTTCTGATTTGGCATGGAGAAGACTCTTGGGACTTGGACTGATCTGGTCAGGGGTATTTTCGTCATTTTGACCAGCTCAATGTGGACTCGGGCTATAGCATCTTGTTCCTATAGCTTAGTAGTGTTTGTCTTTCAATTTTCAGTTTATTTGCATTGGTAGATAGAAAGTTATTGTGTTTCTTGATGCACAAGACAAAGAGTGGCACTTTTTGTAATTATGGTGAACAGTGTTCCGGACCACACAAGTCACTCTCTAAATAGATGTATTCTCTTCCTTTTGAGGGTAATGAATGAATGAAGATTTCTTAAGAGCTCTCTTGCTGTATGGAGTGATTCCTACAAACCCTAGAGTGATTCTAGGACCCCTTGGAGTGATTCCTTGGGATTTCTCTCCTTTTTTCTCTTTCTCTACCCTTTCTACTCTTTCTTCCTCTCTTTTTCTGTCTTGTGTTAATTTGTTCCAACCCTACTGCATCAATTTTGGTATCAGTGCATCATGTTTTCAAATGGCTCATTACCATGGTAGAAACATGAGAGGCAGATTTAGTGAACAAGCTAAAGAAGAGTTGCTGCTTGTACTTATTAATCGAGTGGACACCGTAGAAGCTCAAGTAGAAGTGTTGATTGGAAGAACAAGAAGAGAAAAACAGCACCGGTGTTCCACATGGAGGAGCTGAAGCAGAGGATTCTAACACCAATAACCTTACTGGTCCACATGTGCACCCACTAAGGATTTCCATCAAGCCCTGAAGGTCTCAAACTCTACAAACTCAAGGTACTTTAAATGATTTATATGATGAGTTGGTGGAGCATTCTAAGACTAATATAAATGACCATCGGGATGACATTACTAGTAAAGTGAAGATAGAAGTTCATAGTTTTAGAGGTGGTATCAATACACGAGTTTTCTCCAATTGGTTGGCAGAACTAGAGGAATACTTTGATTGGTTTGATATGTCAGATGCAAGACGGGTTAGATTTGCTAAACTTAAACTTGTAGGCCATGTAAAAGTCTGGTTGAGTGTGGAGAATAGATTACAGAATATGGGTAAGCGTCCAATCACCCATTGGGAAGATATAAAGCATTACTTGGAGGAGAAATATTTGCCTAATGACTTCCAAGATGCTCTTCATGATGAGATGATGACATTGAGGCAAGGCATCTTATCTGTGTCTGAGTACATGCAGAAGTTTGATGAGCTTACTATTAGATGTCAGTCTACAGAAAGTGAGAAGCAAAATTTAGCCCGATTTCGGAATGGTTTAAGGGCTGATATTCAAAGGGAAATGATGACTGCACGAGTTTATGATGTGGATGATGCTTTTCAGATGGCTCTTAAAATAAAGAAGTGCTTGAAGCAAGTGAATAGTAGGAGGTTTGGTGTTCAAGCTGGGGAGGCAACAACATGTAAGAGTTTAGATGAGGGTAGAGTCACTAGACCTGTATCTCATAATGCAGTTCTAGTAAGGTCTAATGGTTCCAAGTATCAGGGAGCTGATAACAAGGGGAAGAACATCATGATTGATGCTAATAAAAGGGGAACAACAGAAAATACTTGTTTCAAGTGTGGTGGAAAGGGCCACTATGCATTTCAATGCCCTAATAAAAATCTACACAGGGTGTGAGAAGGAAGGACAAGTTGAAGATGATGAAGGAGGCCTTGGTGAAGGAGTACATTGGGTTTGAACATGAAGAAGAAGATGACAACAATCTTGTTGGAGTTGTTAGATGCATTTTAGCATCCTCTAAAGAAGAAAAGAAAGAAGATTGGCTTCGTACAGCGATCTTCCTCTCCTTTGTCAAGAGCGGAGACAAACTTTGCAAGCTGATAATTGATGGTGGTAGCAGCATGAATGTGGTTTCTGCAACAACTGTTGAAGGGCTCAATTTAGTTGCACAACCTCATCCTCAACCATACAAGATTGCTTGGTTAAACAAGATGACCCTTCAGGTAGAACGAAGGGCTCTTGTTTCTATTTCCTATGGGTCTTATGTTGATGATATTTGGTGTGATGTTGTTCCTATGAATGTTACACATATTCTATTAGGCCGACCATGGCTTTAAGATAGGGATGTATACCATTGTGGGAAAGAGCATACATATTACTCTCTATTTAATGGAAAGAGAATTGTTATTAAACGTATGTCACCTGATGAGATCAAGAAGTGAACTAAGGCCCCTCAAAAGGCAGCTCCAGCCCAAAAACAAGTAGTTGAACAAAAGAAGCAACCTCTTTTGCTGTCCAAGAAGCAATTTGAGGAGGAAAGCAAAGACCCAGGGCTTGTTTATGCCCTATTAGTGAAAGAAGTGAATAAACCAGCACATGCCCCTATTTTAAAGGTGCCAAAAGAGGTTGAAGACTTGTTGACTGGTTTTTCAGATTTGATCCAAGAAGAGTTGTCTGATGAATTACCATCTCTACGTGATGTCCAACATGCAATAGACTTGATTCCCGAGTCTCAACTACCTAATTTGCCTGCACACCGGATGAATCCCATAGAACATGCTGAGTTGAAGAGGCAAGTGGATGATATATTGAAGAAGGGCTTCATTAGAGAGAGTCTCAGCCCATGTGTTTTACTGGCTCTACTCACTCCCAAGAAGGATGGCTCATGGAGGATGTGCGTAGATAGTAGAGCCATCAACAAGATTACAATCAAGTACCGATTCCCTATCCCACCCTTAGATGACATGCTGAATATGATGTGTGGAGCTACAATTTTCTCTAAAATTGATCTTAGAAGTGGATATCACCAAATTAGGATTTGACTTGGAGATGAATGGAAAGCCGCTTTTATGACAAAGGATGGCCTCTATTAGTGTCTAGTTATGCCTTTTGGCTTAACTAATGCTCCTAGCACTTTCATGAGAGTTATGACTCAGGTACTTCATTCTTTTATTGGTCGTTTCTTGGTTGTTTACTTTGATGACATTCTTTTATACAGTCGTACTCCTGATGATCATCTTGACCATTTACGTCAAGTGATGAGAGTTTTACGGTAGGAAAAGTTCTACATCAACTTAAAGAAGTGCTCTTTTATGACACCTACTGTTAACTTTTTAGGATTTTTTTTATCCTCTGAAGGTGTCAAGGCTGATCCTGACAAGGTGAAAGCTATACTTGATTGGCCCACTCCCACTAACATCCATGAAGTGAGAAGATTTCATGGATTCGCTACTTTTTATAGGCGTTTCATAAGGAATTTCAGCACTATTATGGCACCAATTATAGGAGCTATGAAAAAGGGGGAATTTGTTTGGTTAAGGCTGCAACTAAAGCCTTTGAGACTACCAAGCAAAGGGCGACTGAGACCCCAATGTTACATTTGCCCAACTTTTCAAAGATCTTTGAGGTGTTTTGTGATGCTTCCCAAGTTGGAATAGGTGGTGTGCTTATGCAAGAACGACATCCTATTAGCTTTTCACAATGAAAAACTTAATGAAGCTAGACAAAAGTACTCCACATATGACAAAGAATTCTATGCTGTGGTGCAATGTCTTCGACATTGGCGTCATTATTTAATTTCCCAAGAGTTTGTTTTGTATTCAGATCATGAGGCACTCAAATATCTCAAATCTTAGAAGCATCTTAGTAGTCAACATCAGAAATGGGCTGAATTTTTAGCAGAATATAACTTTGTGATTAAGCATACAACTGGTGCCGAGAACCGAGTAGCCGATGCATTGAGCCGAATGGTGTATATACTTCATTCTATGTCTGTACAGGTTGTGGGGTTCAATCATTTGAAGCAAGATTATGATGGTTGCAAGGATTTCAGCATCATTTATGGTTCTTTACAAGCTGGACAGCAATTTGAATATCCATCCATGATGGTTATTTATTCAAGGGAACTTGCTTGTGTGTTCCTAACACCTCACTACATGATTATGTTATATGGGAGTTACATGCAGGTGGAATTGTTGGGTATTTTGGTTGGGACAAGACCATTGTTATGGTAGAAGATCACTTTTATTGGCCTAGCCTTAAGTTTGATATTGATCGTGTGATCAAACAGTGCTGAATTTGTCAATTGGAAAAAGGGAGAAAGAAAAATACAAGGTTGTACACCCCTTTACCAA